TTGCAGCTTTGTATGCAATTGTTGTGGGAGTCCAAACTTTAGTAGTAGAAGTGCATCCTGTTAGAGATAGATTAGGAATAATCTTATATTTCCTTGTCCATCTAGTATAGTTCTTAATGTTTCCGTGTCCTTTTAGTATTGTGGTTCTCTTACTTATTGTCCAAGTCTTGTAATCTATATAAACCCCTTTGTGGTTTCATAATAATACACACTACTATTCCTAAAACTCCTATATGGTATCAGAGTCTCTAGCTTAACAGCTTTGATCCAGGAACCCTAAAACCTTTTTTTTTCCTTCACCACCGAGATGAGTCCTCACTCACCCGGTTAATTCCCTCCTCCCTTCCGCAATCTTGTTCTTTATCTTGCTTTTTCTTTCCCATAGCTATAATCCTAATGAGTTTGGTTTTCCTTTCTCAATAAAAAAAACCCTATGCTAATTGTTTCTTGTCCTGCACCCCTAGCCATTATCCCTAATTGCTTGCTTCCCAGCCCCACGTCCCAAGCAATAACAATTCTAGCTTCCAATTGCCACTCTCCCAAAGCATTCGTTCATTCACTATCATCATCATTATTTTTTGTTGCAGATTCTGATAGTTGTTTTGTGCTCTGTCGATTGACCACTGCCGCATTGTCATTGGAGAGGAAAATCCGGTTTTTATAGCCGATGTTATCGTTCTTATCTTATTTTCAGATTGTTGCAGAATTATATGGCGGAGCCACGATCATCCTCCAGCCATCTCTTCTTCGCGTGTATGGAACGAAGAAAGCTTCTCCGACAATGGTCATTCGGATGAATGCCTCGTGTCCTACACCAGTTTACGTTTATTGGTATCGTTAAAACCAACTGATTATTGTTCATCTTGTTTCTGGTCAATTTTTGACGACGAGTGAGTTTCGTTTCAACGTATGAATTGCAAGTTTGATGATTTCTTCTTCTCCAAGACGACGGTTAGTTGGCTTCGCTCTTCAAGCACGAGAGTTCGACGAGTTTGCAGCACATTCTACACCATCACATTGCGGGGGCGTGTTCTTCAAGATTGGTGTATTTTGGTCAAGATTGATGTTGTTCTTCACACCATCATCTTGCGGGGGCGTGTTAGAGATAGATTAGGAATAATCTTATATTTCCTTGTCCATCTAGTATAGTTCTTAATGTTTCCGTGTCCTTTTAGTATTGTGGTTCTCTTACTTATTGTCCAAGTCTTGTAATCTATAGAAACCCCTTTGTGGTTTCATAATAATACACACTACTATTCCTAAAACTCCTATACATCCCACTAGTTTGGAGAGAACAACAGTGATGATGGACATGACTATATAGGGAAGGAAGAGCTAATGTTGTTTGTATCAACCATCAAAGGTCGGGTTAGGACTTCTGATGGCGAGAGTGCGAGCTGGAGCGGGGATAGAACCATTGATAAATTGGCTGAGGTCATAGCTGTTAAGACGGGGAAGAAGCTGAAGTTTCAAAAGAAGGTAACTTTTGGCTGTTAATTTGACTGCGATGTGGGGTGGGCCGGTGGGGAAAGAGGAATGGTGGGTGGAAGAACATATGAGGAGAGTGAACCAGAGGATTCAGATGTGGCAGAGGAAGAAGTGCGGCTCGTGGCCGGCGAATAAGAAGTGAAGAAGGGAGTCGAAAAATAAAATAAGAATCAAGATGTTGTGAAGCAATTAACCTCCGACACCATGAAATATGAGGTAATTTTCTGACTTTCTATTAGAGGCAAACATGAAACAAAATAGTAAACTCAGCGACCAAACTTCCTATATATCAAATTTCGAATATAGAAAATTGTGAGATATTTTTTTTATTGTCATCGGTTGTCTAAAATTATTAATCATATGAATCTAAGTGCGAAACTGCCGTGAATTTTTCATATCTATTGAAAACCATTATTTTTTTTCCCCAATATCTGAACGACGCTTAGGTGAATCAAAACTAATCAAAGCCCAATTGTTATGGAAAAAAAAAACCGTGGAGGAAGGGAAACTAAAAGGCATTCAGATCAGTGATAATGGCCCTACCATCTCCCATCTGTTCTTTGCTGATGACAGCATTTTTTTCTTTGAAAACAAGAGGGAGCAGGGAGAAATAATGAAACAGATTCTGAAGAAGTATGAGGAAGAATCTGGGCAGCAAGTCAGTTTGCCTAAATCTGAGTTGTCTTTCAGCAGTAATGTGGGAACAGAAGACAGGGATGAAATGGTTAATCTGCTTGGAATGAAACAAGTGCTTTTTCATGACAAATACCTAGGCCTTCCCACCACTATAGGGAGGTCAAAGAAGGTAGTGTTCTCACAGCTAATTGACAGGGTTAGAAAGAAAGTTAAGATGTGGAAGAGCAAAACATTATCCAACGCAGGGAAAGAAGTATTGATTAAAGCCATAGCCCAAGCTCAGAGCACCTATGCTATGTCTGTTTTCCTAATTCCACAAGGAGTGATAGAGGAAATTCAAAGAATCATTGCTGGATTTTGGTGAGGGCAAAAAAAAAAAAAAGAAGGATACATTGGATGAGTTGGGAAAGGCTTAGCAAACCGAAGAGTGAAGGGGGAATGGGATTCAGAGATCTCCATGGGTTTAACATTGCCCTTCTTGGAAGGCAGGTGTGGAACATAGTGAAAAATCCAGATTCTTTGGTTGCTCGAGTGCTGAAAGCAAAATACTATCCCCACAGTGATATAATGGAGGCTGAAATAGGGAGTAATCCCAGCTATATATGGAGAAGTTTGATGGCGGGTCAAGCACTGACAAAGGAAGGGATAAGGTGGCGAGTTGGAAGTGGCGATCAAATTCGTGTCTGGTGGGATAAATGGGTCCCAAGTAGTCCTAATTTCAAGATTGAATCACCAGTCTCAGCACTGGGACTACAAGCAAGAGTCTCGGACCTAATAGAAGCATCAAACAGGACTTGGAAACAAGACCTATTGCAGAATCACTTTAATCCAGATGACAGGGAAAGGATCTTACAAATCCCATTGCCAAGAAATCAAAGAGCAGATGGTAGGGTTTGGGGGTATGATAAGTTGGGAAAGTACACTGTGAAGTCTGGTTATCATGTATGGAGGAGGAAGAAACAAGAGACCCAGGGGGAGATGTACATTCCAGTGAATTGGAAAAGGATGTGGCAACTTCAGCTACCACTAAAAGTTTGGGTGTTTCTATGGCGTTGGGGAAGTAATATTTTACCAACTGGTGGCAATCTCACAAAGCGTATCCATGAGGCTAGTGATGAATGTCCGTTCTGTGGTTTAAAGGAAACCCAGGAGCATATATTGAGGGATTGTGGCTGCGCAGGAAGGGTTTGGCGTCCTAGTTTTGTAAAGCAGCTATTACTAATGGGGGAGTCAAGGACCTCAGAGGAGTGGTTGTGTGAAATCAGTGATAAGTCGACAGATGAAGAATTATGCTCAATGGTTATGGCCCTCTGGTTCATGTGGAAGGAGCGCAACAACCACCTTTTCAACAATAAGAAGCTAGAAGAGTGGGAAATTATAGAAAGGTCTTAGTTTTACCTGGATGAATACTGGAGCGGAAACCCAGACCCAGATCGCGAGGGATTGCCAAGAGCAGTGGTGCGATGGGAGAAACCGGAGAGAGGAGTCTTGAAGGTAAACGTCGATGCGGCAAAATTGAAGGAGAAGGGCACAGGGATGGGGATGGTGATAAGAGATGATGAGGGGAAGTTCATTTTATCGGCGGTGAGAAGGACAAGAGTGGATTGGGACCCTGAGATGGCTGAAGCTCAGACGCTTCTCTGGGCGATGCGGCTAGCGAGGGCACATGTGACGAAGCCGATACTGATGGAACCGGATTGTCAGTCGCTGATTTTGAAGCTAAATAAGGAGAATTCAGGAGAGATGGAGTTGGGGATGGTGGTGGAAGAGATTAAAGCAGTAGCTCAGGAGGAGGGTGAAGTGAGGTGGAGATTTTGGGGGAGAAATGGGAATGCAGTTGCTCACTAAATGGCTCGGATTGAGTGTAGATGGGAGGAAACTGAAATTTGGTGTGATAGACCTCCACTTTTGGTTATTTCGTCCTTATTGAAGGACTGTAATGGCACTTTTACACATTAAATAAAATATGCAGATTTGAGTTGTAAAAAAAAAATAAAAAAAAACCCAATTGTTATGCCTGCCGCTTCTTGAATTTTAATATCATTTAATAATTTTATTCATGATAAGGTTTGAAAAATTCAAAATAGTCATGACTTTTTTAATCAATACATTCTCCACTAGTAATTAATTAGAAGTGCAATGATAATATTATCCACCATTATTTAGCATTGACCGTTGAATATTTTACTTCAGCAGAAAAAAGAATTGCTGACTTTTTCTTCCTAAGAGTGAATAAAGTGGGAAAAAAAACTAGGATAGTTATAAGAGTATCCAATTCCATATAAATAAAATTACAAAATCAATTGCATATATGTGCCCCTATTATCATCATAATAATTTTTGGAAACCAATTGAGGCTAATTTCATTATATCTTATACCAATTCGATTCACTTGCAATTGAAATTAATGGATGGACACCTGATTTTTATAATAGAAAATATAACTTTCGCAAAACTCTACCATTTCTCGAAATTTTAGGCTATTTTAATTTTCGCATACAATTGCTGAATAGATTACTTTACATAACGGACGAAAAGATTAATGGGATTAATTTCAAAATTGCAACATAGGCTCTCGTTGAGACGTTGACCAAAAGTAAAAACAGTTACAGACTTGGAGTTTGCCAATAATTTAGTTGCTTTCCAGTTTCCACAATATTATCAAGTAAAACGTCTCCGTAAAGATTTACAGAACGCTTTCACGAGGGAAAAAGAAAAAAAAAAAAGTAGAACCAAAAGATTAACGCAGCGAAATCGTTCTAAACAACTTGACCTGGTCCAGAAACAAACCTCTATTTCCTCCGAAGCTAATTAAACACCCACTAATCTATAATTCTATATTATACGTCACCTCCTTGTCCTTGACCGGAATTTTCTTACTGCCCGCGGGTCAGGTAGCCGGGCAGCGGGCTGGCCCGCGGCGAGCGGATGGCAACCTCGTTGACTTGCTTCCCGCAGCTGTCGTAGTAAATCACGCCGGAGAAATCCAACGGCTGGCACTTGTCCCCCATCAAGATCGACCGCTGCCACACACCGCCGTCCCCGAACTCGTCCGGCGCGATGATGTCGCCTCTCCGATCCTTATTATTCCTGTTTCCGTGGACCAGCGTGATGGCCCTGTTGCTGATTTGCGTCAGCAGCTGCTTGGAGTGACGCACCAGCGGCGATCTCGGCGGGTGGACCCCGTCGTTGAGGTCGGAGGAGAGGCCGTGCGGAGGCCGGCGGCGGCGGCTGGGAATCTTGGTGGTGGTGTTTTTGGTGAGCTTGGTTGTGAATTTGCCGGCGTGTTTGGCGCAGAGAGCCATGAGGGAAGATACGGACATGAGGATGGCAAGCGTGAGCGGCCGCTTGGACGAGCCGGTGCCGGCGGAGGAGCGGCGTTTGTCGGGAGTGGACGACATCGCCGTATGTTCGGTGGTGATGGAAAGAGATCGATATAGCCAACGTTATGCGTTTGTGTGGATGTTTTTTTTTTTGTTTGTTGTTGTGGGAACTGATTTGAGAAGGAGAAATGGGAGGCGGGGTTTTGAATGGTTTGTAGTGTATATATATATATATAGAGGGGGGAAATGGAAAAGTGGATGAAGGAGGGGTGACCGGTGATTTGGCGTTGTAGGTTTGGCAGTTGACTTGCCCTCCTTTCAAGTTTCCATAAGTTGCCACCTTTTTTCCCTCGACCAAATACACTAAATAATTTTTTTATATCCTTTTTAACACAAAACATACACGAAGTGACACTATGAAAATTAGAGGACTTTTTCATCGTGATTAGCAAGCCCAATAAGTCTACCATATGTATTTTTATGGTGATTGATACTTCAATTTTTTCATAGCAGAGTTTCATGTAGTTTTTCAATTCTAAAATCACTGCTATCTCTTTAATTTTCACTAAAGGTAAATTGGTAATTGGCCAACATGGAAGAAACTGATTCTATTACTACGTGTTGTGTCCTTGCATTTTCAATTTATTTTTCAATTTGTACTTTTTTTTATCTTTGTTCTTATCTCTTTCTAACGGCCTTCGTACTTGTGCTTACACTATCCTTGTGTATGGACATATGACCACCATCCTAGTTTATATGTTGCATTGTCTTTTTGATATCCCTAGAGCCTAGAGGACGAGATACCTTAGCTCACTCAAAACTGCAAGCCTATGAATTTGACATTGATCGTGAGGCTATTCATCTTACCGGCCTTCCTCCTAATGGGCTCCTCATGGTTCTAGTTTCCACTCTATCTGAGAACCTAAGGCCCTGTTCACTTCCATTTTCGTTTCCTGTTTTCTGTTTTCATGTGATAAATTTGGCAATCGAAATGAGAAAACTTGTTTACTTTTCATTCTGTTTTCTATTCGTTTCCAACTATGAAAACAGAAAGTGGCAACTTCATGCTGTTTTTGGAAACGACAAAATATTGTTTTCACCTGTTTTCAACGTCTGTTTTCTCAAAAACAGGAAACAGAAATGAAAGTAAACAGGCCCTAAGGGTATTCAACTATTTTGTTACTCGCACCTTCCTTCTCATAGAACTTTTCCTAGATATGATCCTACCTTTAGATTTGTGGATCCTCTCTCACATCGTAGCTAGCCTTTCTTCCTCTTGATTTTATTCACCTTTTCTTTGGAACTCTGATGCCCTTTGGAGATTTCAACTATCATGCCCCACTACATTTTGGGCCTCTGATAACTCGTCTCTTCTTAACTTGGGAATCAATCTCTTAGCCTTTCAAACCATTACCCTTTTTTTTTTGTTTCCCACTACGAATGTTGTTCTCCAAGATTTGGAGCTTGCGAATGAGGGGGGAGAATGGTCCTAGAGCGAAGATGTCGAGGAAGATCCTGAAGCAATCTGGCTAAGCATCAATGGTGAGTAAGAAGTAAGTGAGCCAGCCTTCCTTACTGACAGGAGTGAGAGCTCCCTAGCAGACAGTAGTGATCAAGAGCTTAGTGAACCTGCCTCCCCTGCCAAAAGAAGCGATCCAGACTCACAACAGTATGCTCCATATGACTACTAGGAATATTTTGACTAGTGGTCAAGTGATGAGAAATGGTCTTACCTTTACTTAAGTTACGTTCTTTTCTTAAAAAAATGTTGGGACAATTTCTTTCCTTTCGGAAACTACAAGGAACTGTTGGAAACTCTTGCTTCCTTTTAGAACTTTAATACAATTTCTTTTCTTTTCGGAAACTATTGGGAACTGATAGAACATTTTGCTTGCTTTCAGAACATTTTGCTCTTTGCTTACTTTATACTTAACATTACTAATTTGGATATTATTTTCCAGTGTTGTCTAAACCGAATCGGACAACGATCCGAATTAATGAGATATTCAAGGTTTCTAGAATAATCGTTAATTAATCAGTATTAAAACCCATTATAAATCGGTGCTTAGCTCTAGTGAACATAATGAAAAATTGAGTAAGAATGAAAAGAACGTCAAAATTGAAAAGATAAAGTGTGCGCAGGGAGCCGTCACTTTCATTTTACTGTTGTCTTTGTTTTTTGTTATTTATTATGAATTAAAGAAAGGAAAAGCTAGGTGTCTGTTTTTTTCTCAAGCCCGCCCGTCCGTATGCTCTCGTGATCGGACTTGTGCCCAGGTCCGATTTTTTCTAGTCTGACAAGCCGTTCCGAACCGGTTTTCATAACACAATTATTTTTTAAAGATTTGCTTTAGTCTGATTGCACTAGTGTATAAGTAGCTCACCAATTGACAAGTTAAGGGGGAGTTTTAATACTCCCATGGAATTGCAGAAAAGAAAAGCAGGGGAGATTATTAGGGAAAACTTTCACTTTCTCGAGAGGTAAATTATATTATTACCTGCCATATCTGTGAATATATGATTGCAAAAAGAATCTCCTAAATCAAATGACCATCACGAGACGATCGTTACATCAAGGAACTATAAATAGAAGGAAACAACAAGACAAGTCTCACATAATGTGGTAGTGCAATCCTATACAAAACAAGATCAAACACCCTGCGATTAATAATATGAGTCAGAAGGCATAGGAGTTCACTGTGTGCATTGCTTGAGTGAATGAGGTAGTGTAGTTCCTCTCTTTAGAGTGAGTGCTTGTGGGAAGAGAGAAAGATGTATATTGCTCTATTATTGTAAAAAATCTGAGGTTCACCCAACGGGACTCAACTTTGAGTTAGATTGGAATAAGATAACAACCTAGATACTAGGTCTCAAAGGGCAAGCCACCTTTGAGTAGAGATGTAAAGCAATAGGCCGAACATTGTTAACAAAACATCTTGTCTACGTGTGTCTCTTCCTACTCTTCTCTATTGTGTGTTTGCTTCTCAACGGGAACATTTTCTTGAAGGTTGAAGACAACTCGATAAGGGCCAAAGTCCATCTCATAAAACACTTGGGCTCTAGCAATGAGTCAAGCCCGACACTCTAGTTCAGAAAACCAATTCCTTATTACTTGTATTTATTTGATTATCTTATTTCATAAGATTATTTGTGTGGAACATTTTTTATTTTCTCCTCTTCCTTCTTTGCTCTGTTCTCGACGGTTGCTGCAGGTGAATCTGTTCTCCCTCCTCTTCATTCTTCCATAGATCGTCCATCGAGTCCAACACAAATAATGAGTGGTGTTTGAATTAATGAGCCGGCTGTTGAATACATGGACGAATAAAAATGAGCCAATGCTTGCCGTATATATAAAAAAAAAAACACATTACACAGCAGCCATATTCGGGTAGGATCTTTAAAGCAGCATCAAGTCCAACAGAGTTGCAAACGCACTTAACTTGGTGCAAATCCCACAACAGGCAGCAGCACAGGATAGAGATCGATAATGCTGGTGGGTTTTACACGCGTCAACTAAAAAGACAGGATGAAAAGTGGCGGCCAATTGAAATTCTAAAACTGCCCCCCACCCACCATTATCAACCATTCTGCAACTTGCATGTGTGCTTGAGGCCTAATTTCCACCACTACTATACTACTGGCCCCCAGTCTTCCAAATTGCGTGGTTGAGCCAGTCTTAGCCCAATTTCATGCCTTTTTGTTTAATTTATTACATTATTAGCGCCTTTTAGTTTCTTGGTATGGTCGAACATCATGCTGGCATGCTATAGCCAAATTTTCTAGCCGTCAGTTTCATATGAATTATTATATGTGATATTACATAACCTTACATGTGTAATACACTTACATGATGAGTGTCTGATGTTAGTCATAGACGGACGACACAAAGGCCCAATGATAAGAAATTGCAAGAACCAAAGTTTCATTCTTTGTACGTTTAATCTGTTAGCTAGTACTATTAGAGGAATAAAATAAAATAAAGGTACTAGGCAAAGTCGACTGCTTTGCGCTGGAAACTTCAATCAAAGTTCCATCCAATGGTGACAAGGCAAGAGGGAGGGGTGGATTAGAGGTAGGTGGCGAGGCTTTTATATAGTTGTGGATGGATTAGATTCAAAACAAGGTATATTTGTCAAATGAATTATTGAGAAGAGATTGGATAAAGTTTTGTTGATAGAAACAATATCAGGTAATTTGAGGAGAAGAAAGGAACGATAGCGATCACAAGGCTCAAGTTATGCGACACATTATAATGATGTTTCGGCTAAAACTAGAGAGGCTGAGGATCTCCTTGCTGCTGCTCAAGCTAATGTGTTGGCTTTTCCCATGTCAGCTCATATTGCAGAGGAAAAAACTCAAGTTGCTTCCTGTGCTATGTTGCAGACTGCAGAGGAGAGTTTCTTTCGTCAAAAATCAAAAGTGCAGTGGATATGATGTAAGCGGAAATCCGGGAATTCGAACTCGCTCATGAATCAGAATACGCAGTTCTCACTTTTTAGGGTTTTTCTTGGATCTTCTCAAGAACACAAAATAAAAGGATATGATGGAAAGGGATTGTCGTGCAACTTCAACACACAGGAAGAGGCTCGAACAACATTAGGGTAGATGCCCAACCACGATCAAGGAGAATACTTATCGATACAGAGCTCAACTAGTTTGGAATCCACCAAACTCACATTCAAGAGTAAATACTCAAGAACCAAAGGGTTTTTTTCTATTCATCAAAGCATGTCTTCTCATAGGCAATTCCTCCTCTATTTATAGAGGTTACAAAACAATGTATCTACCCTTATTTAAAGCTTAATAGTCCTCTTTATCAAATAAGGAATGCAATTACCAAAAGGGAAAGGAAATAAACTAATGATCCACCCAAAAGGGAAATAAAATAAAACAAGGATCCGCCCAAAAGGGAAAGGAAATAAAGCAAGAATCTGCCAAGAATCCGCCAAAAGCAATGACTTAGTCCTCAAGTAATTCTTTTCTTCCTTCTGTTGCGGGGAATCACATCATTGCCAAGCAAGAATCATGCACAGTTGAATTGAGCACCTTGCTTGCGCTACTTCATCCATCTTAAACGC